AAGGTCTCAGAGCCTGCGGTGGGGAAGAGCCAGCCTTACTCATGCTTCGGCCTCACGTGGAGAACCAGATCTAACTAACACAGTTCATCTCAACCAACCACGGTGTGCTGTGAGGTTAAGGGGATGGAGAGCACTGGCTGCTCAAGCTCCCAGCACCCACATGGCCACCAGTCACAGCCATGTGTAACCCCAGTTTCAGGAGATCCAACGCCTTCTGACCTCAGTGGGCGCCAGGCACTCAAAGGTTGCCAGACACACCAGACACAGACATACATGCATGTAAACAATTATGTACATAAAATGAACATTAAATAATTTTTTTTAAAAAAGATAGTCAGCATCGTGGCACATGCTTTAAATCCTACCACTCATGAGGACAAAGGCAGATCTCCAAGTTCAAGGCCAGTTTAGTCTACATAATGAGTTCCAGGCAAGCCAGAGCTACAAAATGAGGCTCTGCTCAAAATATCAAACATAAAAATAAGGGACTGGAGAGATGGATCACGTTTAAGAACACTGATTGGGCTGGAGAGATGGCTCAGTGGTTAAGAGCACTGACTGCTCTTCCAGAGGTCCTGAGTTCAATTCCCAGCAACCATATGGTGGCTCACAGCCATCTGTAATGAGACCTGGCGCCCCCTTCTGGCTTGCGGGCACATATGGAAGGAATGCTGTACACATAATAAATAAATATTAAAAAAAAAAAAACACTGACTACTCTTCCAGGCGACCCACATGACAGCTCACGATTGTCTCTGACTCCAGGATCCAACACCTCACACAGACATACATACAGGAAAAATACCAATACTTACAAAATAAAAATAAATTATTTTTTTAAAAAAAAAAACCTCTTAAGTGGCTAGGCATGATGGTTCAGGTTTGGAATAGAGACAGGAGAGTCACTGTAAGTTCAAGGCCAGCCTGACCCTGTCTCACAATAATAATATAAAGGGCTAGGGCTGGAAAAACAGTTCAGCAGTTAAGAGTATTCATTGTTTGACCTTCCAGAGGACCCAGGTTCAATTCCCAGTACCCACATGGTGGCTCACAATCATCTGTATCATCTATAACTCCAGTTCTAGAGATCGAATACCCTTTTCTAGCCTCTGAGAGCACAGGGATGCATAGTGCACAGACATACCTGCAGACAAAGCATCCATATCTATATTCCTAAAACAAAATCTGGGTTTTTTAGATTTTTGTTTTTGTTTATTTGATTGATTGATTGATTGATTGATTTTGAGACAGGGTTTCTCTGTAACCACCCTGATTATCCTGCAACTCATTCTGTAGACCAAGTTGGCCTCGAAATCACAGAGATTTGCATGGCTCTGTCTCCTGAGTGCTAGGATTAAAGGCATGCACCACCAACTGGCAAAATGAATCTTAAAAAAAAAAACAGCAATAATAATAAATGATAAAATGGCAGGTAGAAGCCCACTTTGATAGCTCAAAGAAGAGTCCAGCATAGGGCTGGCTTGGGATGAATGATAAGATTGTGGGAACAGCCAGGCAGTGGTGGCACACGCCTTTAATCCCAGCACTCAGGAGGCAGAGGCAGGCAGATCTCTGTGAGTTCCAGGCCAGCCTGGTCCACAGAGTGAGTTCCAGGAAGGACAGGGCTACACAGAGAAACCCTGTCTCGAAACCCAAAGAGGACAAAGAAAGAATGGGGAGCAGTGCCTATGATACAGGGACTCTGGGCAGTTGCTCTGAGCAGGCAGCATGGCCAGAGACGCAGGGAAGAGGGACAGACTTGACCAAGTGTTAGGGAGGCTGCTGGAGGTTAAGTGGGCAGAGCAGGGCCAGGTGCTTTCCAAGGCCCTGGGCATTTGTGGAATCCCAAACTCTGAGAAGTGAAACTTTTCTTCTCCTTCCTCCTCTCATCCCGTGGTAGATACACTGAACCCAGAAGGACAGGAGGCAGCAAGCAACCATGCCATGTTACATCCTGCCCGCAGAGCCCTTCACAGTGCTTCTCTCTTGCAGGATCCCGTCGGGAATTTTGGAAAGTCCTCCTGCTTCTGAAGCCAATGCTGAGGGTCGTAACCACTCTGCAAGCGCTGACCAGGACCCTGCGGTGGACAAAGAGGGCAGCTCAGGCTCAGGCAGCAGCCCCTTCCAGCTCATGGCCTCCTCAGAGGAAGACATTATTGATTTGAAGTAGAGTCTGTGTCTCCGTGGCAACCCTTAGTGTTCTTACGCAGGTTTATACTGTTTAAACAGCTCCAACAACCTGTCTCAACAAAATGCGCCTCCAGCCAGGCAGCAATCTATTGGACCAAACCTCCTGCACCCTCAGCCAGTTCGGGTCACTCTCCAGTGTCCAGTGCCATCTTTCTTGACTCCTGTTTCTTTCCATTCAAGAACCGTCAGTCCCCTTGTAATAAAGGTGATAGATTTCATTGAAGTTTTAGATCAAAACTTTGAATAAATCAAAAATGTTCATTCTTATTCACTGCAACCCTTCTCTTATATTTTATAGATTTAGATGGAAATTATTTTTTGTAAGTTTTGACTTATGTCACATACTATGCTTCTTTTATGAAGAAAAGATGCTGCTTTTTAATTCTACTATAAATAAGTTTTCTTTCTGCACTTGGCCCTGTTGCTGCCTGTGTTCACTGGGGTGGGACCCCTGCACTCCTACCTGGAGACCTGGGACAGATAGAGACGCTTCCTCCTCCTTTGATCTCAAATAGTAGTAAGGCAAAGGCACCGCAAAGTCTTAGGATACATTCATCTCGCGACTGTGATCCAGAGTTTTCAGATTCCCTCCCTTGAGTGGGTCTACCTTTTTTGTTTTGTTTCACAGTGTTGGGTATGGACCCCAGGGCCTTACACACACTTGGCAAACAAGTTCAGCTGCAGAGCCATGTCTCCACCCCCTGCCTTGCTCTTTCATCCTTCAGAACATGGAGATAAAGAGGCGGAGAGCTGGGGAAATGGCTTCGTGGTCACCCACATGGTGTCTCACAGCCATTTCTAACTACAGTTCCAGAGGGTCCGAAGCCCTCTTCTGATCTCCAAGGGCAGGAGGTACACACATGGTGCACAAACATGCATGTAAAAACACTTATAAAACAAATAAATCTAATTTTTAAGATGCCCACTCCAGCTCCCTCATGAAGAATGAGCAGGAAGTACTACGGACGGAGCAAGACACGACTGGAATACTGAAATAGCAGTCCTGTGTCACAGGTCACAGGGCCCATGGGAAGAAACCCCATCGTCTGCCTGAGAGGAAGCAGCTCCAAGGAGTTCTGACGTCATGTTGTCAGAAGTTAGAACCCTGGTACCTTTCTCCTTTGCAGGCCTTAAGGAGTCACTTCCCCTCCCTCTTCTGCACAACAATTCCGTGTGATACACGGAACCAAAGGTGCCTACGGGAATCCTCTTTAGCTGTAGAGGCAAACTTGATGCTACATCTCAACCCCACCAACAGTTCTGTTAGGCTTATTCTGGCTTTTCTCTGGGGTTCCCACGTGGAGGCTGGAGGTCGGCTTTGGCTGTTCCTCAGGAGCCACGCACTGGGTTTCTTGAGACAGGGTCTCATTAGGATCTGTGGGGCTCACTAGTTAAGCTAAGCTGGGTGACTAACTTGTTTGTACCTCAGTGCTGAAGTTAGACAGGCACCACCACTCCCAGCTTTCTCTCAGAGAGGACTCTTGGCCCAGGGAGGGCCTAGGTGCCTCCCACTGGTTCTCTCCGGAATTACACGTATAAGCCATTGATGCAGCCTGCCCACAAAGCTGTGGGTAGCAACTGAGCAGAGAGCAGTGGTAGCACACAATCACAGGGTGACTTGGGGAGGAAGAAAGATAGATTCAAGGCTTGGGATTATCTGTGGGGCAACCAGGGAACAGGAAACCACTAAGCTCCACCCCATACCACCTCTGGATAGGGTCCTCAGCATCTCGGGGGCCCTAGGCATTGCAGCACTCCTGATGCAGGTGAGCTGCCCCCAGAAGCATCAGGTCAGTCTCAGAAAGTCCAAGGAGAGTGACAGGTGGCCTAAAATGGTCTGCTTGGAGACTTTTCGCCCCGAGGCTCTTTGTCAAGGCTGGGGAAGAATGGCTGACTGTGCTTCAGGGAACTGTTCTGTTGTAAGGGTGGGAAGTCTCACCCAGCCCATGTGCTCCACCTGTGACCCACTACTACCCTCATTAGTAGATATTAGCTTGAGAGACAACTCCATAAATAAATAAATAAATAGTAAAACCATAGATCTGGAGGGTATGGCTCAACACTTAGGAACTCAGATCCAGGTTCCAAGCACACCTGTACATGGTGGCTCACAACAATCTGAAACTCCAGTTTCAGAGGATCCGATGCCGCCTTCTAACCACCGCAAGCACCAGGCACGCGTGGGGCACGCATATATACATGTAAGCAAAACACACAAATAAAGATGTTTAACATAGGCCGGGAAGTGGTGGCACACCTTTAATCCCAGCACTTGGGAGGCAGAGGCAGGTGGCTCTCTTTGTGAGTTAGAGGCCAGCCTGGTCTACAGAGGGAGTTCCAGGACAGCCAAGACTGTTAAACAGAGAAATTCCGTCTCTAAGGACCAAAAAAAAAAAAAAAAAGTCTAAAATTAAAGAATAAAAACAAATGAAACCATCAAAACATGGGCCTGCTGGTAAAGATGCTTGCCCCCAAGTCTAACGACATCAGTTCGATCCCAACGACCTAATCCACGTGGTGGAAGAAAACCAAATTGACTTCTGACCTGCAGAGGCGCGCTGTCACCTCCGCCCGTGATAGGTGTTAAGGAATAAACTTCTAAAACACCCAAACAATCTTCTCTATCTTCATTGGCTAGCTCAGTCCTACAGCTGGCTACGCCTCCAGACTCATCCCACAATCCAATTGGACAATCTTGCCAACAAGCTCCCCCCAACCCGTACCTGGGCCGGGGGGGGGCATAATTCGGGTCCAGTCAGCTTTGCAACCGGCTCTGTGCTTCTATTGGTCAGCTCTGGCTGGGGGCGGGTCCTGGCGCCAGTGGCCCCGCCTGCCGCCGAGGCCGCGCTCGCCAGACCTGCGACAGTTCGGGGGTGATCTGCTGCCGCCGGCATGTCGCCCGAGGACCCCGAGGAGACGCTGCCGCTCTTGCGGCCGCCGGACGCCAGGTGCTGACCCCGGGGGTCTGCGGCCTCTCCCTCACGCCCCGCGGCGCCGCTCACGCCCCTTGTACCCGCAGCGTTCCCCGCGGCCGCCGGGTCTTCCTCGCCGCCTTCGCCGCCGCCCTGGGCCCGCTCAGCTTCGGCTACGCGCTCGGCTACAGCTCCCCCGCCATCCCCAGCCTGCAGCGCACTGCGCCCCCCGCCTTGCGCCTCGGAGACGATGCGGCCTCCTGGTTCGGGGTGAGCCCCGGGTCCCCCACTCTCTGCCGCACCCCAGGGTCCTCCTTATTCTCTTTCTTCTGAGGCTGCGGGGCGTGGGGTGGAGGGATCGTGGACCATGGCCCCTGGTGGCCTCCTCCTCAGCCCATCCGGGTCCCCAGGCCATCGTGACCCTGGGCGCTGCAGCAGGGGGCGTACTGGGCGGCTGGCTCGTGGACCGAGCGGGGCGCAAGCTGAGCCTCCTGCTCTGCACCGTGCCCTTCGTGACCGGCTTTGCCGTCATCACCGCCGCCCGGAACGTGTGGATGCTGCTCGGAGGCCGCCTCCTTACTGGCCTGGCTTGCGGAGTCGCCTCCCTCGTGGCACCGGTGAGTGGTGGGCTTTCTAGATGAACTTTGCCAGGCAGGGGGCAGCGAGTCAACAGTGGAGCTGTTCCTCACCGTCAGCATTGCCCTTAGTTGCGCCTCTTTTACTGCACAAATGATGAAATCCCTGCATGCTTAGCAGTTATGACTGACTGTATACCCCGTTTTCATGTTAGCAGTTCTGTTCTTTTTGTCCCTGGGACAGACTTCTCGCTCCCTTCACTGCTTGCAGCCAGCCCCTGACCCACACGCCGGGATCCTTTACCAGGGCACAGGCTCCTCTGTGAGCCTATACGCTCCCCCGTGTACTAAGGCTTATTCCTGAGGTGGTAGTGAGCCCTTTGCACAAGAAGTTGCTGGTCCAGGCATGGCCCCTAGGAGGTCTTGGACCCTGGTAACTGAGATCACCAGCACCCTGCAGCCACAGGCTTGCATGCCACCCGTCCCTTCCTCGCCTCTGTGGCCACATGCTCAATCTCTGCCCCTGTGGGAGGTGTGAGGGAGCGGAAGGAGAGGGAAGCTGTAGATCTGTAGACAGTTTTTTTTTTCTCTTTTTTAAATTAGGTTAGTCATGGGCATAAGGGATGGAATAATCTAGAAGTATGGATGATGCCTAGTGACCCCTGAGCGTTAAAGAAGTGCTGGCAGCCCCTGGTAGAATTAGGCCAGACTTTCAGTCGTTTCTTCTAACTCACATCTGTGTGTATTAAGTGTGTACTGAGCTGGGCCTGGCGGCACATGCCTGCAGTCCCAGGGCTAAATACATAAAGATCAGGAGTTCATGGTTATCCTCAGCTCACTGGAGGTTAGCCTGGGCTACATGAAACTCAATCTCAGAAAATAAAATAAGGAAGTTCTGTGCACTCCTCTCTCCCCTTGCTCACACACAGCAGCCACCATTACCCACGATCCTTTAAAACTCTGCAGAAGATGGGGTGTCGCTCTGAAGCAGTACAGTTAGACCCTTCTGTTGGAAGAGCCCAAGTCAAGTCCCTCCTTAACTCCCAGGTCTATATCTCGGAAATTGCCTACCCAGCCATCCGAGGCCTGCTCGGCTCCTGTGTGCAGTTGATGGTGGTCACCGGCATCCTCTTGGCCTATGTGGCAGGTAGATTTGCATGCTGTCTTTTGATCCCCGTTCATGGATACATGGCCGCTTTGGAAACCGAGGTTTATGGAGGGTAGGAGTTTGCCCTGTGCTACCAGCCAAGATGCCAGGTTCTCAGTCCCACTCCTGGGAGCTTGGTGTGTGAGGGTCTGGTAACTGAGTCCGGGAGGACTAGAGCAGGTGGCTTCTTCATAGTCACAGAAGCCACCGCACTGGAGGGGTGGGATTTGGGAAATGCTTTAGCTCCCTCCCTGGGAGAACTGGAGTTTCAGCCTGTTATCACTGGGTTTGCAGTCAGCAGAATGTCCTGTGAAGGAGGCTGTTCCCAGAGTCCCTGAGGGGCGGAGCTGGTAGCCTTCAAAGCTGACACACCTGCCACCCACCTGCTGTGTGACTTTGGCCAAGTCCCACTGCCCCTGAGAGCCTCAGTTCCCCATCCCTAAATGTCAGGGCAGGGAGAGTAAGAGCAGTGCCTGGTAGCTGATAGCCCATCCCCAGTGAGAGCCATTGGGGGGGGGGGTGGCTGACAGGTATGGTGTACCTAGCCTGGGGTGTACATACGGGATCTTCACAGTGGACCCCACATAGTCTCAGTCTTCTGTTTTTAACTCCCTTACTGTCCCGGCTCTTCGGTGTCTTCTCTGCAGCCTGACTGCCTCAGGAGTCCCGCAGTGACCAGAGCCCCTACTGGGCACTAGAGTCTGGAGATAGTCAGTGTCTTCATTGATCTGGTCCTGTCCTTTTCACCCCTGGTATGAGTTGGATGTGACACCAAAAAGTTACAATAATGCCCCAGTCACGAGATGTTATGGAACGGTTGTGGGACCTTATTGCTATCACAGACTCACCCTTGCAGGCTGTCCTCTGACCTCCACACGCATGCTGTACCATGCATCATGCATGTACTTTTTTTGTTTGTTTGGTTGGTTTTTTGGTTTTCAAGACAGGGTTTCTCTGTGTAGCCCTGGCTGTCCTGGAACTCTCTGTAGACCAGGCTGGCCTCAAATTTATAGATGTGCCTACTTCCGCCTCCTGAGTATGGGGATTAAAGTCCTGCACCACCATGCTCAGCTTAGTACATTGCTATGACAAAACACCATGGTCAAGGCAGCTTACAAAAGTAAACTTGTAATTTGAGGTGTTTGGGTCCAGAGTATCCATGGCCATCATGGTGGGGAGCGTGGCAGTAGGCAGGTTGCCATGGTACGGAAGCAGTGGCAGAGAGCGAGCTGAGAGTGGCAAGGGCTTATTAAACCTCAAAGCTGTGCCCAGTGACACACCTCCTCCAACGAGGCCACACCTCCCAATCCTTCCCAGATGGTTCCACCAACTGGGGCCCAGCATTCAAACATATGAGCATATAGGGCCCATTCTCATTCAGTCTAACACACATAAAAGAGTTGAATAATATAATAAAATTATGACAAAAGTGTAGCATAGGTATTGGGAAATAGTTCAGTTAGTAGAAGAGCTTTCTGCTCAAGTGTGAGGACCTGAGTTCAAATCTCCAGAACCCACATAAGACGCGAAGTACGGTCATGAGGTCTTATAACTCCTGGTGTGGTGGTAGGGCGAGACAAAAGGATGCTGGGGCCTGCTGACCACCAGCCTAGCCCCAGGTTTAATGGAAGACTCCTGACTAGGAAGTAAGGTGAACAGCAATGCATACCCAGTGCCCCCCTCTGGCTTCCACACTCATGCATGAGTGCATGCACACACACTCACACAGATAAACTAAGAATTTAAAAGTATAGCGTAGTAAATACATCAAAGCAATAGCGGTCATTCCTAACCATTGTCAAGTATTTTACAGTCTCCATGCCTTGATGTGACTGGTTTACACCAGCATTGCCATGGCAGTGCCGTGATATATGTTACCATGGCTACAAGACATGGCTTGGCAACTGGCATCTTTCAGCTGTTACTGTTTTACTTCTTATGTGTAGCCCATCTGTATTTCCCTTAACAGATGTCACCTAATGTTTCCTGGTGGAACATTCCTAGTAGCAACAGTCTCTTTAGCCCAGCAGCTGGGCAGAGGCAATGATGGGCCCACCATTGGAGCGAGTCTCAGGGCTGGCAAGGGGCTAGCTCTCTCTGGCTCTGACGTCTGCTTTTGCAGGCTGGGTCCTAGAGTGGCGCTGGCTGGCCGTGCTGGGCTGCGTGCCCCCCACTCTCATGCTGCTGCTCATGTGCTTTATGCCCGAGACCCCACGCTTCCTCCTGACTCAACACCAGCACCAGGAGGCCATGGCTGCCCTTCGGTTCCTGTGGGGCTCTGAGGAAGGCTGGGAAGAGCCCCCCATTGGGGCTGAGCACCAGGTGAGAGGCTGAGAGCAGGGCAGAGAGCCTAGCCTGTTCCCAAGGCCACACACTGAGTGGCAGCACCCCTCCACCCTCGCTGAGGACCTTGCTGCCTTGCCTGAGCAGCTGGGGACCCAGCTTGAGCCCCACTTTAACTCCTGCTGTCCCAACAAGTGAAAGGCCAGGCTGGCAAAGGGAAGCTAGTGAGGGCTTCATCGCTTAGCAGAAACCACAGGCAGGGAGTCTTCAGAGCCAATGGCACGCAGACACTTTGCTGTTGTGTGACATGACCGTCTTTGAGTATCAGTTCCTTTATCTGTCCATTGATGGTCCTCGCCTCATGGTGATGCTGAGGTCTCTGCAGATGGCTGCAGGAAGAGCTCTGCCTCTGCCAGGTGGAGGTGAGCCCTGAACACACACAGGTGCTTGGACTCGGGCACAGGATTCTTTTCCCGAGTGCTAGAGTGTGAGCCTTCCACCTCCCCTCCCACTGAGGGGGCTGCAGGGGCCTGTCTCTACACTCAAGGCCACGGGTGTGGTGGGGGCCAGCAAGCTGAGGCTCAATTCCCTCCACTTAGGCTTCTGGACTGAGAGAAGGGTCCTTGGGTCAGGGGAGAGGACACTGATGACCCGTCTTCGTGGCAGGGCTTCCAACTGGCTATGCTGAGGTGCCCGGGTGTCTACAAGCCCCTCATCATAGGCATTTCACTCATGGCCTTCCAGCAGCTGTCGGGGGTCAATGCCATCATGTTCTATGCCAAAACCATCTTTGAGGAGGCCAAGTTCAAGGTAAGAGACCTCTGCCCAGCCTGCCTCATGCCACGTGTGTGAATTAGCCTCCCGGAGCCTGGGGCTTTTTGACCCAGCTACAGCCAGAGAGGGAGGGAGGGGACTTGTCTCTCTCTAGCAAACCAGCTTCTCCCCTCTCCCAGGACAGCAGCCTGGCCTCAGTCACTGTAGGCATCATTCAAGTCCTCTTCACTGCTGTGGCGGCCCTCATCATGGACAGAGCGGGGCGGAGACTACTTCTGGCCTTGTCAGGTGAGGCCTGAGCAGGAGAGCTCACTCTCCCCAGCTCACGTGGGGAGTCAGGGCCAGGGAGGTGGCAAAGGCACCATCTGTCCCAAGCCTCCTTTTCCCACTCTGAACTGAGGAAGGGCTGCAATGGGGTCAGGTCCTGGGCAGTAGCTTTGGCCCACACATTCATGGTGCCCACTGGCATCTATGAAGGCCACTGTGGTTATAGGGATTGAACACTGAGGTTGCTGTTCCTGCTTCTGCGGGTGAGAGAACGCTCAAGAACATCCCGGTATTTACTGAGGTCTGAGGTCCAAAGCACAGGAGTGCTATCCAGTTGGGCTACCATGGCCAAGCTGAGACTGCTAAACCTGGCCTTCCTCTCTCAGGGTGGCCCCGCTGCCCTCTGAGCCATGTCCCCCGTGTCCGGCCTAGCCTGAGCCCTTCCTGCAGGTGTGGTCATGGTTTTCAGCATGAGTGCCTTTGGCACCTACTTCAAGCTGACCCAGAGTGGCCCCAGCAACTCCTCCCTTGTGAGCCTCCTGGTGCCCATCTCTACGGAGCCTGTTGACGTCCACGTGGGGCTGGCCTGGCTGGCCGTAGGCAGCATGTGCCTCTTCATTGCTGGTAAGAAGGGACTCAAGGGATGTGGGTGGAGTTGTTGTCCCTATAGCCCACCATGCCAAGTTCTGTAACTCTCAGCTTCAGATCTCATTTTACTTGACTTTGCCCCTCTGCCCCAAGAAGCGTGACGTCTGTGCATGTGGCTCTGACCATGTGCTGGGCACGGAGCTAAATTCTTTCACATAATCTCCATGACAACTTGCAAGCAGGTCCCATCCTTGTCCTGAAGTCTAAAACAGGAAGGGACTGGCCCAAGGCCTGCGAGCAGGGTTGGGGGCTGGTAGAACCCCTAAGGCCCACAGGCTAGGAAGCATGGTGTGGGAGCCCAGCATGTGTGCCTTAACACTGCCTTGCTCCCACAGGCTTTGCAGTGGGCTGGGGACCCATCCCCTGGCTCCTCATGTCGGAGATCTTCCCTCTGCATGTCAAGGGTGTGGCTACTGGTGTCTGTGTCCTCACCAACTGGTTCATGGCCTTTCTGGTGACAAAAGCGTTCAGCAGCGTTATGGTGAGTGCAGACGCGTGCCTTCCCTCGGGCTGTCAGCAAAGGCATTGTCAGAGGTTCCCTGTCCATGACCCTGAGTGTAAGCTGAGGTCCCCTAATGGCTTAGACACAGCCATCTCAGGAGTGACATGGAGCCAGAGGCTAAACCAAAATAGGAACCTGGTCCGTGATCCCCTAAGTCTTCCGTCTGTGTTGGGGTAAGGATACTATGGCCAGCCTTCCCCATTAATGAATGTCAGGTACACAGGCCAGAAACCCATGATTCATATCTATAAGAAAAATAGACAGGCCTGAGCTCTGAGACACACACATGCACAGAGAGGGTGGGAGCTGCTACCCTGTGTGGCCTTGTGTCCTGCTTAACCTTTTAGCATGGTCCTGAGCTAGAAGTGTGGGCCCCTAGCAGTACCTTCCTAGACTGAAGGGTGTGCCGGTTCCACTCAGCCTTTATTTCCCTCTGCGTCCTCCGATGCTGATAGGGCTGCTGCCTGCCAGCTTCCTCGCCACGGGAGAGAGCTTCTGGTCCAGATAAGCAGGCTATCTGTTCAGTCGCTGGTGCCCTCCATGTCTCCTGGCATGTGCCATGCCCAGGCCTGTTTAAGGCAGCAGGGATAGCAACAACTGAACAGGGTCCCTTTCATGACAAGTGCCAGGAAGGTAGTGTGGGTGGCGTGGACACCCCAGCTAGCCAAAAACGTGCTCAGGCAGACAGGGCTGCCCAGAAAACCCAGAGGAAGGCAGGCAGAGGCTGCCACGGAATATAGGAGGGAGCAGACAGCAGAGGACCTGGGGGAGGTAGATATGGGCTCAGGATGTGACAGACCCAGCATTGACCCGAGGAGCAGCCTGTCGAAGCTGAAGAAGGCTCACCTGGTGACCTCTCCTGCAAGGACCTGAGTAGTGGGACTTTGCTCTGCCACCTACAAGGTCACAGACTCACCCTCACCCTCTCTCGAGAGCAACAAGTCCCCTTCCTCACCACACAGAGAAGTCACTGTAGCTGGGACACTGGAGAGGGGCAGGCGGCTATAGGCCTGGGATGCCCAGAAGCAGGAGCTTAACTATTCCTTGACATTTCTGCTCTCAGGGCAGTCACTACATTACCATGAGCCTCAGTTTCCCACAGACATCACCTTGGATGGCAGTGAGCTACCATGCACACAGCTGGGTCTGCAGAGCCATGATAGGCCTGGCAGGGCAGGCTGCGGTCAGGGTGCTCCTGAATTGTGTGGGACCTATTGACCTCTCCACCTCCACGTGTGCCTTTCCTCTCTGCAGGAGATCCTCAAGCCCTACGGTGCCTTCTGGCTCACCGCTGCCTTCTGTATCCTCAGTGTTCTTTTCACGTTGACCTTTGTCCCCGAGACGAAGGGCAGGACTCTGGAACAAATCACAGCCTACTTCGAGGGACGGTGACAGCCCCTTTCTGTGCAGGCAGCCCTGAGCTGGCTTAGCTCTGGGTTGCAGGAGTACAGTGGCGTGTAGCTGAGCCACGCCTCAGTTTGAGCCTGGAGCACCCCAAGTCCTCAGGCATCAGAGCCCCTCTTTGTCCATCCTGAGGTTCTCTAGATTCTGGATCTAGTCTCTGCAGCCTGCTGCACACAATAGGCCCTCTGAGGAGCCTGCAGTCACCTTTGCTCTCCTCCTCCTCAGACAGAAGCCTCTGAGGCGGCTCCTGTTTGCTGGCTGGGGATCTTTTGTCTCCTGGGTCCTAAGCCCCCACCTATGCCTCACACCTGACTATGGGACCAGAAAGAAATTTGGCTACATAAAAGTTGGGCTCAGAAACAAGACTGCAACCTCTTCTGAGTGAGCCCAGATGGAGAAGAGAATGTTGCAGTCAACTGAGCCCTTGGCCCTGCCCAGAGGTGCTGTGGATTCACCTGGGGTCAACTTACCCGTCACTCACAGGTTCTTTCCAGCGCTTTCCTGGGCTCAGTGTCCTGGGTCATTAGCCACCAAATCTTGTTTCAGAAAATAAAAAGCCTCTTTCTGTTTGACTTCATGGAGCCAGAAGTCTTTTGTAGGCGCTTGTATTACAGATCAGTACTTACTCACTGGAGTAAATGGAGGACAGGTGGAGTTAGCGTGATTTCTGCAGCTGCCGGTCTTGTGCTAGGCACGTTCCTCTCACGGAAAAGCCACCCTCTCCAGCGGTAACCCAGTTAGGACTGTGGCTGTGGCTCTCTGACACGCACTCTTTCACTGCCAGTCATTCAAAACAGCGGGCTTGCCAGGCGGTGGTGGCGCACACCTTTAATCCCAGCACTCGGGAAGCAGAGGCAGGTGTAAATTCGAGGCCAGCCTTAAACTATACTGGTCTACAAAGTGAGTTCCAGGACAGCCAGAGCTGTTACACAGAGAAACCCTGTCTTGAAAAGCAAACAACCAACCCAGCAAACTAGGCTTTCCCTTAGTTAAGACAGTGCTCAACAAGGAACTTAGGACCACGAAGGGTGCACCCACACACTGAGACAATGGGGATGTTCTATCGGGAACTCACCAAGCCCAGCTTGGTCTGAAAAAGCATGGGATAAAACCGGACTCGCTGAACATAGCAGACAATGAGGACTACTGAGAACTCAAGAACAACGGCAATGGGTTTTGATCCTACTGCCCGTACTGGCTTTGTGGGAGCCTAGGCAGTTTAGATGCTCACCTTACTAGACCTGGATGGAGGTGGGTGGTCCTTGGACTTCCCACAGGGCAGGGAACCCTGATTGCTCTTTGGGCTGATGGGGGAGGGGAAGGGAAATGGGAGGCGGTAGCAGGGAAGAGACAGAAATCTTTAATAAATAAATAAATAAAAAGACAGTGCTCAGGCTGGACTTTTCCTTAAGAAACACTGTAGTCAAGCCAGGTGGTGGCACACACCTTTAATCCCAGCACTCAGGAGGCAGAGGCCAGGCAGGTGTCTTGTGAGTTCGAGTCCAGCCTGATCTACAAGAGCTAGGGCAGTCTCCAAAGCAACACAGAGAAACCCTGTGTTGAAACAAAAAAAAAACCATTGTAGTCTTCACCGTCGTACTAACTAGCCCTCCTTTGCACTATTGACTGTTAGTGGAATCTTTTGGGGTTATTTTGTTTTGGGTTTTTTGTCTCACTGTAGCTGTGGCTGCCCTGGATACAGACCATAGTAGATAAAGAGGTCTGACTGCTGAGATTAAAAGTGTCCAGCACACCTGGCTTTTGTTGTTTTTTTAAGATAGTGACTCACGATGTAACACAGGCTAGCCTACAACCTATTAGTATCCCAGGCTGGCCTGGGACCCACTGCAGTCCTCCTGCCTCAGCTTACTAAATGCCATTCTGTTCTTTCCGACCAACTTGAGAAGCTGTGGTCTTAAGTTTCCAATCAGTGAACTGTTGGGACAAATGTTCCTTGCTCCTTGGAGCCCATTTAATTTGCCGAAATCTTCACAGAACAACTGCCCTTTGGTACTGCAGGGTTTTTGTCTCAGGCCCCCAGGTGTGATGGCAATAGGCTGTCCCCAAATCCTGAAAAGCTTTGTTTTACTGCCACCCTCAAGTGATGGTTCTGCCCAGATACTGCTTTTTTTTTTCTGTCACTGGAGATTGAGCTCAGAGCCTGGCTCACGTCACACTAGCCAGCCAAACACTCACACCTGCTGCGCCTCCCAGCCGTCGGGTGCCGTCTTTATTTTCTTTTTTATTTTTGTGTGGGGGTGTCTGTCTGTCCATCCTGTCGGTACCTACAAAGGCCAGAAGCATTTGATCCTCTAGAGATGGGGTTATAGGCTGTTGTGAGCTGCCTGACGTGGGGGCTGGGAAGAGAACTCTGGTTCCCCGGTATAGGTTAAGTCATCATTTCTCCAACCCATTCCCCAGAATTTTTTGAGACAGGGCCTCACAGAACCTGAAGTTCATGGACCAGGGATCCATGTGTCTGGCCCTTCCACCAGGCACATGCTGCCATGTCCAGCTTTGAAGACTGAGTTTTATTTATTCTGTGGAGCTGTGTGAGCCACAGCACACAAGTGAAGATCAGAACAACTCACAGGAGCCGGTTCTCTGCTTGCACCACGCGGGTCCTGATCCTGGACAGAGTTGTCTTGCCAGCCCTCACGCCTGGCTTTCTGTGGACGTGCTGGGAGCTCACACAGCGGCCACTTAACTGACCGAGCTCCCCTCTAGCCTGTGGGGTTGTTTTTTGTGGGTTGTTGTTTTAGATTTATTTACGGCGAGGCAGTTGTGTCAGAGTTCACATCTGGAGGTCAGAGGCCAGCTTTTAAAGGTCCCAGGTTTCTCAGCAGGGGCCTTACCCACTCAGCCATCCTTGCCAGGTGTCTGGTAAGGTCTGTGGGCTGATGGGAGTCTTGCCAGCTGATGCTGCAGGTGGAATCCCGCTGCAGATTTCACAAGCCGAAAGCTGGGCAAGAAAGATTATAAATGTAAATCTAGTGATGTCGGTGAGGGTTTTGTTTTTTATTTTGGGGACAGTCTCATTCTGTAGTCCATCTCTTACCTCTTGATTCTCCTGCCCCAGCCCTTGGCTTCCCTGTCCCCTCATGCTCTGTCAGGACACCATTCTCCTGCTGTCAAGACTGTCCAGCAGACTCGTTCCTGTGCTGTTCCTGCTCTGCCCGGATGATCAGGTGGACGCCATTCCCACTCTGTCCCAGCTGTCAGGTGGACGCCGTTCCCGCTCCATCCCAGTCTAGTGGACACACTTCTTCCTGGTTGATGATTTTTCTCTTTTTTCCACTTAAGATTCTTTTGCAGGGAGGCCATGGAGACAAGTTCTAGCTCTGTAACAGCCTAGGCTGGCTTCAAACTTAATCCCAGAGGGTGAATTCCAGGCATGCAAACCATGCCCACTTCCCCGCTGGCACTCACCTTTTTGTCTTTGCTGTTTTGCTGTCTTCTACAAATATTTTTGCTTTGCTAGTCATGCTTTAAAACAATTCTAATACTTTTCAATCTATTGATTATGAGACCACACCGTCTCCTAGTGGATGACATACTCTTCTGTCAGTGACATAAGCCAAGGGAGCTGTTGGGTGGTGTGGCCCAGAATGCATGTGGGGTGTACAGAGAGACAAGGTGTACAGAGGGACGGGTGTACAGAGATAGGTGTGCAGAGACGCAGGTGTACTGAGAGATGGGTGTACAGAGATGGATGTACAGAGAGACAGGATGTACAAAGAGACAAGGTGTACAGAGGGACAGGTGTACAGAGACGGGTGTGCAGAGAAGATGGGTGAACAGAGAGACCGGATGTACAGAGTACAGAGAGAAGAACATACAGAGTCGTTGCAAGGGGCAGAGGAGGCCTAACAACTGCAGAGTCAGCAAGCTGGTGGCCCGGGAGTGCTGACAGTGCGACTCCAGCCCCAAGGCAAGCACGCACAGACTCAGGAAATGCCACTGCTGCTAATCAGTGACCGTGTCCAGCTGTAGTTGTGGGTGTTGGGGACCTAGACTCAGGTCTCAGGCCTGCAGAGTAAGCCCTTTACTGACAGAGCCAGCTCCCCAGCCCTTTTTTCTTGTTCACCATCCTACGCTGTTTAAGGGGATGAATGTCTAAGGATATACATTGTCACCATTTAAAATCAGATGGAGCCAGACAGTGGTGGTGCACGCCATTAATCTCAGCGCTGGGGAGGCAGAGGCAGGCGGATCTCTGAGTACAAGGCCAGCCTGGTCTACAGAGTGAGTTCCAGAACAGCCAGGGCTAAACAGAGAAACCCTGTCTTGAAAGAAAAAAAGAAAGAGAAAGAAAAAAAAATCAGATTAAGGCATGATTTACATAGGAAGAATCCAGCAATTTTAAGTATAAAATCCAATGATTCATAGCAAACTGTAGTTAGGGGCCACCACCACACTCAAGGACAGGACACTTCCATATCCCTGTCCAGTGTCACCTCCCTGCATCTATAACCCTGGAAACCAGTGTCCTGTGCTCTGTTAGGCTTTCTAGGTAATTTTGAAGAGGTAATCATAGTTTGAGGCCTGTGCACCCGGCTTCTTTAATGTAGCACAGTGCTTGGACGCATAACCACTTCAGTTCCCGTATTTCTAAGATCATCACTAGACACTTGGTTACTTCCGGTTTGGAGCTATAACTGGGGGCATGGAGACATACCTTGTGTGGAGTGGTTTTGCTGGGCATTTACTAAGTGTATTTTACAAGCTGCTTCGACTTCCAAAGTTTCTCATCCCATCAGCAGTGGCTCCGTGTCTACAATGCTTATTTCCTGCTATAAAGCAAGCTATAGGTTCTAACTTTCTGGAAGCCATCTTCTGTTTTCTGATCTCTCCTCCGATGAGTTGATCTGGTTATCCTGGCTCATCTCACAGCTGATTTATCTCACATATCTGTCATGTTTTGTCCATGCTTACGCTTAGGAGTGAAGAACCACAGGCTGCATTATAGTACCTGGCCTAAGTGTCCCGAGCAACACACACACCTCCCTGATGCACTATAGATCTGTTCCTATTTATACACCTCCAATGTCATTTCAGTGGGATCTGACATGAAGAAAGGGAGGTATGTGTATATCGGCCCACCATCAGTACCTGTAATCGCCACGCTGACATGGTGCCTGGCAAAAAGATGCTCAGATATTTGCTGGATGTACAATTATTCCAGTGTATATCAGTACTTAAGTCAACCCTGTGTTAAATAAAGAACTTAAATCAATTCCATATTCCACACTTGGGTCGCTTCCAGTCTCTTTATTGAGAATTCAGGTGTCATATACAGATTCATTGAAAATGGGGAGGGGGGAGACTAACAACAGATGGGAATAAAGGGGGATAAAGGACAACGGTAGAGATGGATGGAGAAGCAAGGGAACACTGATAAAGGAAGTAGAGGCGAGGGGCGCCGAGGGTGAGGGTGGACGTGAAGGGGGTAACAGTAAGAGAACAGATGTCTGAGTAAACCTTCACAGTATGAAACCTTACAGGTGTGCTTGTTGGTCAGTAAGGTGCACACTGTCAGGACAACCCATCCATCTTGATAAGCTGCAGTGGG